CACATACATATACATATATATATATATATATATATATATATATATATATATATATATATATATATATATATATATGTAGGCCTATATGTATGTATGTATGTATATATATAGCAATTTTTTAAACTGATAAATAATTTAAAAACTGGCTCAGATAAGGGTGGATCAAATTCAGCATTGAATCCCACGCATATCATGCTGCTGTGGAAAGTTTAGCATGAGCAAATGAGTGCTGAGCAAATGTTCCACTGTTCTGACCCTGAACACTGCACTCGCTTTTTGTTTTGCAGACGGGGGCGTGGCCGTAGCCTCATATTTAAATGAGCCGTGTTCCGTAAATTAAAAGAGCTGATTGACCTCAGCATCGCTATTAAGCCTTTTTTTCGGTCTTGTAAACTTTTATGGTGTATAATTAAGCCACATTAAATACATGTTGGGCATGTCAAAATAATTATTTTTAATTAGCCTAATAATAGATGATTTATGACAATAAAAACTACATTTACATCTATATATTTGGCAGATACTTTAATTTATACAATGCGATTACATAACATTAGGATGTATACATGCATGCATAATTTATTAATTACTTTCAATTTAATTAAAAATAATTAATATTTTTAAAAAGAATGTTCCTGTTTAGCAATTTTATAAAAATATTAAAATAATTTTTCTCTCACAAAAGGCGTTTTTATTTTCACACCCACAAAAGTTTTAAATTCAGTAAATGTATGACATCCATTATGAGCCATTGTTAATTTTAAATATTGGAGTGCTTCACATAATAAACCTTGCTTTATTTTATTAATACGTCAGACGTTTAAAATAACACCTTTGCCTAATATTTTGCGAAAAAAGTTCTGAATGATGATAAAATTAATTTAACAGGATTCGACTTAAATAATATCCTGTAGGAAATATTATTCATATTAAAATATCAACAGGTTAATCTATAATTTTGATCATTATTAGGCTACGGCATATCACGCCTAATTAAATGCATATTACGTCTGTAAAATGTCTATTACGAACTATTGGTCGGATTTACTTAAATAACATTAATTTAAAACCCAATTCTACTTTTAAGATCGATACATTTGATTTACGTGCTAAATTATCAATCCTGAGGTATTAATTATGAATTCTGAGTACCCAAGGTTATTAAAAGGACACGACGGTGTTAGTAGAAACTTTTTGCTAGATTTATATTCATTTAATAGAATTTGGGTAAGCCTATGTTTTGCTGCATCAATCTAGGGGTGTTAAAAGCCCTTGTCTTCACGCACATCTGCTCGTGTCCATGACAGACTGAGACGACACTAACAGAACATCAACAGGTTGAAAATCCCTGGTATGAAACTATCAAGAGTTGTTTCCTTCCCTCCGACTATTTGTTGTTATTATTTGCACATCACTAAAACGAACAAAATGATGCATTATCTAGGTCAGGGGTGTCCAAACCAACACTATCTCACTATAAGAAAGTTACTATAGCAAGCCTAGTGAGTCCTTGATTAGCTTCAGGCGTGTTTAATTGCGGTTGAAGTAAACTACGCTGGACGGTTGCCCTCCAGGACCGAGTTTGTACACCCCTGACCTCGGTTTGTTGTAACAGCGTGACATTCAGGATTGTCTCCCTCTGCTGACGATCATTTGTAATTACACTATTTGTTAACTAAACTACAACTGCCAACAAGTGGTCACGTTTTATAAAGCGCACTGTGATATTTGTAGCTTTTGATACGTAAACTGGCCAAAAAGTTTTAGTCGTAAATAGTTTAGTGTTTAAGAGCAATTCGGTTTTTTTTACCTTCATCATTAAAGGGATAGTTCACCCAAAAAAACTAAAATTCTGTCATTTACTTATCCTCCACTTTTTCCAAACTTAGAATTTCCTTCGTCTGTTAAACATAAATAAATATATTTTTTTTTCCCTGAAATCCATTGTGTTTTGTTCCTATATAGCTATTTCAACAGAAGAAACATCAAAAGTTAAGAAATACATCAGTGAGAGTAAATGGTGAGTAAATTTTCATTTTTAGGTAAACTATCCTTTAATCGTTTTTATTATGAATTTAATTATTAATTTGAGCCACATACAGACTCTGAAAGATCTTTCTAAATTCAACAGCATTTTTTGTTCCCATATTGATGTAAATGGCTGCCTTTTCAACAGAAGTGAAAAATAAATAAATAAAAGTTTAAAACTATTTCCGTGAGAGTAAATGGTGAGTCCATTTTCAATTTTGAGTGAACTATACATTTAATTGTTTAAATTATTTAATCATTATTTGTTTTTTATGTTACAGAAGGATTTTGGATTGCTAATCTTTTTTTGTTTTTTACATCTATGGGAGTTTTTTACCTTTTACTGGCATTGATGGTTTCATAAAAATGTAACATTTATGAAACCTTTCTGTTGCACCAAAGGTTTTTCACAATGAAAAGTTCTTTAAAGTGTTTAAATGTTCTATGCACAAAAAGGCTCCTTTAAGATTTTACTGAAAAGTTTACTGGAGAACTAAAAATCCAAATGTCATTGAAATCCTTTTTGTCTTTTTTTATTATTTCACCTTTTAGATTGTTAAATAATTGTAACAATGTTTAGCTCTTGCTTCTTTTTCATTTCGATAAAAGAAAAAAGGCTATTTTAAAACCAGTTTCCTGGAATGTTTTGTGTTTGCGAGTGTGCCAGCATTTTTAAAATATTTATGTTCTTACATAACATTAGAGTGGAATTAGATCCGTCTTGGCATACTGCTCAATTGTGGCCTATTGGTCAGAAAACATCTAGCTGTACCATTTGAATTTCAATACATTTTCTATTTTGCTGCTGTGTTTAACTAAACGCATACACTTTTATGCTTTTACACTTTTAACCCTGATCTGACTCAAGAAGTTGACGCTACGAACATCCACTTGTGCCTAATGCAATCAAACACAACTGATCCTTGAGGTTAAGCAACAAAAAACTTGAAATATAAGCTGGTTATTACAGCACATTTTGTAAGCCTAAATTAAGGTAAAATCGCAATAAAATATGTAAATCGTGCTCCAGACCCAGACACGGTGTGATCATTAAGACTTATGTAAATAATGTATGTGAAAGTTTGTAGTTTTTTAAAGAATAGTTCACCCATAACTGAAACACTGCTGACAATTTACTCCATGCTTGCTTAGATTTTTGTTCTCTTGAACACAAACTATTTTAACCATTGCAGGAAGTATTGATACCCACTATATAGGGCAGGGGTGTCCAAACTCGGTCTTGCTTATTTTAGTTCCAACCCAAATTAAACACACATAAACAAGCAATTGAAGCTTATTCTAGATATACTAGAAACTTCCAGGCAGATGTGTTGAAGAAAGCTGGAGCTAAACTATGCAGGACACCGGCCTTCCAGGACCAATTTTGGACACCCCTGATATAGGGGGAAAATACTTTGAACTCAATGGCTACCGGTTTTCAACATTATTCAAAATATGTTGTTTTGTATTCAACAGAAGAAGGAAACAGATGAGAGTGAGAAAATTATCATCTTTGGGTGAACAATCCCTTTAAGTCACAGGTGTAAAACTCCTGGAGAGCCGCAACTCTGCACAGTTTAGTTCCAACCCTAATTAAACACACCTGATCAAACTAATAGAGTCCTTCAGGCGTGTTTGAAACCTACAGGTAAGTGTGTTGGACCAGAGCTGGATCTAAACTCTGGAGGGCTGAAACTGAAATTAACACCCCTGATTTAACTAAATCAAGGGTGTCCAAAGTCGGTCCTGGAGGACTGGTGTCATGCAGATTTTAGCACAAACTTGCCTCAACACACCTGCAAGGATGTTTCTAGAAAGCCTAGTAAGAGCCTGATTAGCTAGCCCATGTGTGTCTGATTGGGGTTGGAAATAAACTTTGCGGGACACCGGCCCTCTGGGACAGAGTTTGGACATGCCTGAATTAAATACTCTGCAAACCAGAACAGAGTATGCAACAGAATCACTTGTAGATCTCAGTCAACCGAAAGTGGAGCTGGAACAAATTACAGAATGTTTTGAGTAAAGAAGGTATGCAATGTAGCACCAAATGACTATAGAAATTTAGATTCAGATGATTATAATATTCTTTATACAATTCTGTATTCCTGCATTTTGTTTACGATTCTGCAAAAGTCTCAGTCATAATTAAAATAACCTACATCTACAAATACAACTTAAGTAATTATATTAGTTATGCGATTAAACGTCTCTGGTTTTGCTTCGAGAGCAATTACATATAGTGTGCTACAATTCAGTCACATAAAAATAATATGGTGTAAAAAGGTTTATTTACTACATATGCACTGATTTTGAGATTTTGGCTTGTGAAAAGCATTTGCTTCACAGTACAACTCATAATTGAACTTAAAATGATGTGTGTACTTGCATCGTAGTAGTATACCTGACTTAGATTCATTTAGCTTCTTTAGGCATTAGTTGTTTCCATGAAAACGCAAAGAACATCACGTTTTATCTCAATTAATGCTAATTACAACATGGCTTGAACTTATCTTAAGTCCTGCATTCTAAATTAAAGAGCCAATTACCATTATTAACATGATATATGCAACGGTTGAGCTAAGACATGCTCAAGCACACTAGCTGACTCAAAGGGAAAATTTGATTTTTTTTTAATGCTATGTGAGAAGATTGCGGTTTCTAAAACTGAGTGTGTGTGAGGCTTAGTTTTAGGATTTTCCCATTAAAGTAAACAGAACTGTGTCTTGGATCCCCAAAAAAGCTGCCCAGAGTTGCTGCAAATATTTCAAGTAAACGAACGGACTTGTATTTAGTCAAGACTAGTTGCAGGCATTCAGCTACTACAAATTATCTGTGCGTGTTTTAACGTTGAACACATTTTATTGTTAAACATCAGTGTGCGCGAAACCGTTAAGATCAAAGAAATCAGTCACTGAAGCAACTGAGATGAAAAGACTCAAAGACATCATGGTTGAGACTTCACACCCTCACACTTTTTTTTTCCAAACACATCTTTATTTAAGTCAGTACAGTAAAAGCCTCCAGGAACTGAGGGAGGCCATGATGATTCTGCCGGACAGCTTCATTTCTTCTGCATCTTCTTCCACTGTTGGTAAAAACGACTAGTCGCTGTACACCTCAGCATTTTACCTCAAAGTGGTAAAGATTAATTTCTCTACACTGCTGGTTTGTCCAAGAAAGACGATAACGAAGCTGAACTAACTATTAGCGGTACATTAAATTCTATGTACAAAATAAGATGTGGTGAATTAAAACTATCAGCTTTGCATAACAATTTAACTTGATCATCAGTAGAACTTAACTTTGGAAGTAAAAAAATATTACATATCAACTTTAATTAAATCCAACAAAAAAACATTTCTTTCCCGAAGACATTCGCGAGATACGTGCGTTAACATACTAACTAAGGGAAAGGACATTTTTGTATTAACCTTTCTACTATATTTTCCATTGAACTAGATACAAAATCTACAGAAGTTAAAGAAGATTTAATGAAATGAAATAGAATAACCACCTCTTGTTTCGTCTGCCTTCAGATTCCATCTCATTCCCCAGCATTCCTTGCCAGACATTCTTTCCATTTCCCTGCTCCAGAGCTCCTTGACTTCATCTGGCCGCACAACTGCTCACGGTTTACATGTCTTCATGTTGGAAAAGAACAACTTGCTCGAGAGTTTCTAGTGATCTGGATGCATCCCCTTGGTTACTTAAATAAATTTGTTCTTCTCTATTGTAATTCTGTAAGGGTGTTCGACACCTTACACTTGCCTCATTGTCCAGAGCAACCATGATCTTACTGACAACCCATCCACTTCTTTACTTGCTCTCTGTGACATGCACTTGACACCAAAGCAGAAGAATCACATGAGACACTTCAGTAATGTGGAGGCAAGTAAGGTCTTTTGGGTGGGTAAAAGGGACCCCTGACTCTGGGAGGCCCACCAAATGGTGGGCCAGGTCGCTTGCCTCTTGGAAACGGTGGTTCATGGTGAACCGGGGGTGGTCGTCGAATTGGCCTAGGGGGAGGATAGTGTCCAGGGTGTGGTGGACGAACATGGTGTGGTGGTGGAGGTCTGTGCTCCATGTGAGGAGGAGCCCTTGGAGGGGCACGTTCTTCAGGGTAATACTCTTGTGCATGAGAGGAAACTGAGTGCATGTCATAATGAGAGGGAGAGGGGCTACGTTGTGGATGGTCATAGTACGTGTCAGCGTATGGATCTTCAGGCAAAGGTCGAGGAGGACTTTGGGCTTCATGATAACTCATTACCGGAGGAGGACCACCAATGTGGTGATGGGGTATACTTGGAGGGTGTTGCAGAGGTGCCCTTGGTGGATGTTGATGGTTATAGTCCATGGGACCATTCGGTGGGATTTTGGAAGCATGGTGTGGTGCATGAGCAGAGTGAGCAATCCTGTCCCCATGTGGATGGAAGGGTCCCTCCTTTGGAACCTCATGAGACAACTGTTCATAATCAGACTTTGCTGGGATATATGAGCCATCAACACCACCTCGTTCTGCATCACCAAAAGGTCCCGGCAAATCCCTGGTGGTGTGTGGTGCATTTGCCCTCAAAGAAGAAGCTGCAGCCATGAACTCTTTGGGTGGAGGTGGAAGCTTTGGGATAGGTGGGAGAGGTGTGGTGAAGAAGGCAGGTGCAGTTAGATTCGGTCTTTGATCTTTGGAAAGGTATGGGTCTCCACCATATGTGTCAGAGTTGGGCAACACATGCCTCTCTTGACCATCTTGATAGGCATAGCTACCTTCCGCTAGTTTAGGATTTGGTGCCACATTATGGATTAGAGGGTTTTGTCTCATATCTTGAAGCAGCATACTGGATCTTTCAGTGGCTTCTAGACTCTCTCTTGAAGATTGTTGGTTACTGGACATTAAAGAGGAACGCATTGCTTCCATGCGCTGATGACGCTGAGCTTCTGCCTCAGCAAGAGAGGGTACAGAGTCTTTTATTGATGCAATCGTCTGGTGAATCTCTGGAGCTTGTGCATCTGCATGAGCAATTTGGTCCTGCCAAGACGAAAGTTGACAAGTTGATTTAGAGTCTGTGGATGCTGTTTGTCCCTGCTGATATGGGAATGGCTCTGATCTGGGATCATCCATAATTTCATCTTGTGTTGGTGTAGCTCCAGCTTCATCTCTTACAGGGGTTCCACCAAGGTTCTCTGCACTTGCTGAAGGACTATCAACGGTTCCCTTGGGCCATGGCAATACAGAAGGAAAGCCCAAATTAAAGCCTTTCAGTCCTGGGTGTACTTGGAGAAAGGTATCAATCTTGGAGTCCAGAGTAGGGTTGAAAGAAGAGTTAGGATTTACTTTCTCATTCACCACATTGGACTGCAAAGTCGAAGGAGCAACATATCCTTGTGAAGTGGTGTCACTAGTCAATGGGACACTAGTTGGAGTAGGTATGACTTTAGGAGGTGTATGAGATTCTTCTGTAACAGGCGTGGTCAGGGATTGCTTTTCAGAATTTGAATTTGTAGGGGTCTTTGCAGCTGGGTTGTTTAACAAAGAGGACAGACCTGAAAGGGAATTGCGGAAAGAAAAAGATAGGAGTAGGGGCACAAAGGTCAGCAGATTTGTTTAAAGCACACACACACACACACACACATTGTTTAAACACGTTTCTTTTCTAAATATCATCAGCTGAATCTGATAAAACTATGCAAAGTTTTATATAATATGTAGTTTTAAGTCAACATGAAACTAAATTCTTAACTCTTTAACTTCGATAATCTGAAAATCTGAATAATTATTTAATTTAATTTTTTTTAAATAGCATGATAGGGACTCACAGAATAAAGATACAGCTGAATTTGAGTTTGTATTTGAATCTGGAGGACTACTCTGCTCCTGAAATGCTACCTACCAGACATCAACATTTGGTAAATACAGATCAAGCTCACCCTTAGGAAGATCTTTATGTCCCAGTGTCTACGTCACTTGCAATGCTTTATTTATTTTTCAGACTGACTGTTAATTCTCATAACCTTTATCAAATTAATGCTCACAAGATTTACGACAATCTAAGAAGAAAGTTGTTGCAAAGGTTTAGCAGTTATTATATTTTAATGAAATATAAAAAAGTTAAACATGTCGAACAGAAATCTTTAGGAACTTCACGATTTTATATGAATTCTGAGGGTCAGGATTGGATTCCAAAACTATTCTTCACCTACATTTTTGCTATTTCTTTACATTTCACTCAGAATTTACCCAGAGCTTCACCGAACAAAATGTGTTTCTAGTTCACACCCGCATAGGTCTGCATTGTCACAATCTAGTTTGAATACAGAACCGATTCTGAACTTCTGACAACCGATTCAGAATTGCTAGATTAAGAACAAATCATTTGATTGATTCTTTTTCTCCCACCCCTATTCAGAATAATGTATTCTGTTCAATACTAGCGTGCATTTGAAACTTATGTTGACTTAAAACAACCCTTATCGTGTAAGAATTTACTATCATAACTTTTCGGCTCCTCAAATAATCTTGCATTTCCAATTCTCACCATGAAAACCCCCAAGGCTTTGTGTTTTGGAAAGAGCACTGAGCAGAGTGTTGGTGTTGATGTCCACCCTTGAGAGAATGCTGGTCAAAGGGTTGGCTGGAGGGGCAGGAGTAGTAGGAGTCTTCTGAACTGAGGTTGGAGTTGCAGGTACACTCGGGGAAGACCGAGATACAGGACTAACTCCAACAGCTGCAAAAGGGACAACATAGCTTAAATGCATGACATTGCATACAAAACTCATTTGTTCCATAACGTCACATGATATGCAATCAAGTGGTATGAGCTCTTATTTTACTTTTAACGTTTTTTCAACGCTTCAATGACAGATTCCTTAAAAAAATACAGGAAAGTTGTTGAAGAATATGAGCAAGACACCAAAGGCAACATTTAAGCTTGTATCCTTAATTATGACCAGTCACAGTTATGATATTAAATAAGCTGTTTTAACCTGCATCTAACATGCTGTACAAATTAAATAACAATATCTCACCTGAGTTCTTCATAACATTTGTGAGTGTGCTGAGGATGGAGCTGATCTTGCCAAGATCAACACCAGCAAGGTTCACTGGAAGTGTCTGTGTGGTTGGTGTGGTGGGTGTAGTTGTTGCTGCTGCTGCTGTAGTTGTTGTTGTTGTTGTTGTAACAGCTGTAACTGAGGACTGAGGAGCTAACTGGGGAGCTGTAGCTGGTGGTGTTGCAATCTTCTCTGTCTGTGTGACTTCATTTGTTGGCAGGGACTCTGTGACATTTGGAGTGACAGGGGACTCTTTGGACACAACAGTTTGGGCTTCACATTCCTCTACTGTAAAGAGGAAAACAATAAAATGATTGATTCTACCAATGAAAGAAATCAAAAATTATTTTGCCAAGGTTTAATGGTACCTATAATGGCAGGTGTTTCTGTCTCCTCTGCATCCGAGAGCTCCATATCTTCTACGTCACGATTGTCTTTGTCTCCCATAGAGACACTTGGTGGTGGGGAACCTCCAGAAGATGAGAGAGGGCTAGGAGCATCAGCCAAAGCAAACAGGTCTTCTTCCATTGCCTGCCCATCCAGGTCTGGGTCTGGGGTACCAATTCTTTCCAAAGCATGGAAGGGGGACTCAGAACCCGTAGGGGAAGGGGCGTCTTCAATAGGGGAGGGAATGGGCGAGTCATCTGGATCAGGTATCATTGTCTTCTGTGCATCAAGCTTCCGCTTAAGGTGTGAAACTCGGTTTGCAAATGTCTCATAAGCCTAGGATAGGCATGTTTTAAAGAGATATCAAATTAGTTCCAACTATATTTCATTAAGTATACATTAATAATACTGGAATATCAACAAGTATTAAGCAAAAAGAGTATACATTATTGTTTAAATGTCTGAGGTTATGCTGTGTTCACATCAGACGCTGCATGTGTGGATAAATCATGATATTCGCACGTAAATAAATGCGTAAACATTTAGAGTTTACGCATCAAATTCGCTTTATTCGCACGCCAAATTCAGTTCACAACAGTCGCAGATTTGCGTCATGGCCAGGGCTTCTGCCTATTGACTCTACATTCATTGCTAAATTACTAACATTGATTTTATTGAGAGAATAGCTGTGTTTTATTTCCTTTAGTAAGGCTAAAAAACAGCGTAGAATTGCTCGACATTGTGTTTGAGTCCACTAGATCCTTTCAGAGGTAAACCTAGCTCTGTGAGCTCATCAACTCCTCTAGAAACTATACCTAGATAATGGAAGCTTTCAGCGGTGCTTCAGACTGAGCCGAGCCAAGTTTGATGAACTGCTGCTTGGTGTTGGCAAGAGAATTTCACCTCGGGACACCAACATTTGGCACTACGTCATAATCACTCTTCTACAACGCATCGCTAATGTCCGCTAAAATGCATCCACACGCAAAAATCATTTGTGCCGCCTTATTTGCGTGAAACATGCTGCAGGATGTCTAGTCGAGTCTTTGCATTGACTTAACATGTAAATCACTCGCGCTTGATGCTTCATCCGCATCTGGTGTGAAGGCAGCATTAGAAGTAGAGAGAGAGTTTTGAATTTATTCAATTAATCTCTGGCTACTTCATGGCAAAACTAGATCAAATTTACAACATTTATAAATATCACTTTTTATAATAATAAAAAAAACTATAGAAATACATCAACAGCAATAAAGAATATATAAGATAAAACACATAATAGTAATATACAAGATAAAAATCAAAACAGTTCAGGTTTACTTTTGATAAAAATAGCACAATTTTAGAAAGATTAACAATTAAACACATTTAATTTAAAGTCCAGATAAAAATTGTTATCTGATAACATAACAAACAGGGCATTGCTGTATGTTTGTATGTTTTCTAGGGTTAGAAAGCTTTTAAAGAATATTGCTGTGTGATGCAAGCAAGGGACATTGTATTCATTTTTTTTTTACATGGCGAAAATAATCAATTTCTTCTTCATTTAATTGGATAAAAAGCACTTAATGCTCAAAACCCAGGCCTAAATACATTTTCAATTATAACCACAAAAAAAAATAAAAATAGAGTCAACCTTGCAGAACCAACAGCCACAACCGAAATTATACCAAAAGTTAAATATTTTAGTTATTATGTCTAAAAACGTTCATTGTACAAAACCATTTAGGTATTCTTATATTAAAAATAAAAAACCTAGTTGTCACAGAAAGGACACTCAGAATAGTCAGGATGTATTTTTGTTTTTGTTTTTCAAATTCAATTGTGGCACAATGCAGCAGAAACCACTAAAAGCATCAAATGAGCATTTTGTCATTTCATCTGAAAGTGCTTATATAAAAGAGTTTCTTTAATTTGTGGACTGCAATCATGAGTCTGCTAGAAAGCCTGGGCCTGCTGTAAGTGAAGAGAGATTAAGAGCTCTTATTGAAGCCAACGGAAATAATTAGATTTCATAAAGTCCTTTTTGGAAATATACATAAAACAACATTTTACTTATTTCCTACTCTAACATTTAATTTGAAATGACCTTATGGTTTTCTACATTGTTTCTAGACTAGCAGCGTGGAGAATGTGGCAAAATCTGGCAGTGTGGCAAAAAATGCCTCAAATTAAAAATTGTAAAAATCTTTGCTATTATTAGCACTATTAGTCATTAAAAATCATTTCAAGCAAAAATAACACCAATATGATCTCTGATACTCACTTTAGCCACAATCTTGACCTCTTTATATTGCATCTCATAGAATATGTCTGCGTTCTCCAGAGCTTCCATCAAGGCAGGGCCTTTTTTAACCTCTCCATCGAGAAAGGAAACAAACTCCTGTAGCTTCATGCTTCCATCTTCAAAGTCCTTAGAAAACCTTTTACCTCCTGCTTTGTCTAAAGAAAACCAGAAAAAAACGTACACACAAGCATGAAGACAAACACTGAAATAATGGAGGATACAGATCCACTTGTTACAAATTCAGAATATTACAAATATTTTGTTTAAGGACCTTTCAGTTTCTTCAGAGCCTCTGTGCTGCACACATCTACTCTCATTGCAGCTAATTGTTTTTCTTTGAGCTCAATTTCATCCATCGACTTCCTGTACTTGGACAGATGCTCGATAAACGTTGAGGGCTGATGGGTAAATATGAAAACAAGTATGTTAGAAGACATAAAATTAAAAACTATAATTTAAAAACATTTTGCTTGAGCCAAAGGGCCCAAACAATTAATAAATTCTGAGTATCAATTATTTACCACAAATTCAGCAACAATCTTAGACTTCAGGGCTGATTTAGAGTTAACTGGAGCTGGTTGAACTGAAAAAAAAAAAAGTGTCAGGAAATCATAAGAATTTTAAAAGTCTTTCCTTTTATTACAATGAAACAAACAGTTTTAGCACATCCTTAAATGTGTAAAATCACACCTTTCACTGGTTCTTCTTTCCGAGCCAAACTATTCCTCAGTTGACTGATGAATTCCTCTGAATATACATTTCGTTCTTCCCAAATGGACAGTATCCGCTCCACTGACTTTTTCACTTTAGCATCCTTTGTGGCTCTGAAGGTTAAATCACAGACATTTACAGAGATTCACATTGTTAAGCAATTCACACAATGCAACACAAGTCTGATTTTGGAGAATAACTTTCATTCAATGTGTCATATTTAATACAGCATTTATAATACAGGATTGGGTGAAGCAGTGGCGCAATAGGTAGTGCTGTCGCCTCACAGCAAGAAGGTCGCTGGTTCGAACCTCGGCTCAGTTGGCGTTTCTGTGTGGAGTTTGCATGTTCTCCCTGCCTTCGCGTGGGTTTCCTCCGGATGCTTCGGTTTCCCCCACAGTCCAAAGACATGCGGTACAGGTGAATTGAGTAGGCTAAATTGTTCGTAATGTATGAGTGTGTGTGTGAATGTGTGTGTGGATGTTTCCCAGAGATGGGTTGCGGCTGGAAGGGCATCCGCTGCGCAAAAACTTGCTGGATAAGTTGGCGGTTCATTCCGCTGTGGCGACCCCAGATTAATAAAGGGACTAAAGCCTGGTTTATACTTCTGCGTCAAGTGACCGGCGTGACCACGCGTAGCTGTGCATTTATACTTCAGCGCGGTCTCTGTTGGTCTGCATTAACACTTCCGAAAAACTAGTTGGCAGTGAGGTGTAAATGTTTCTCTGTGTCGAGTTTCTTCTCTGCTGTTTTGCTTTTCCTGAACACTTCCTGGATGTATAAGTGGCTCAAACTCGCTCATTTTGAGGCAGGAACCGGCGGACTTGCAACAACTTTAACTATGAGGTAAACACAAAACTAAACTTTCCATCAGGAGTTCCTTCACGGGACTCCACACTTGTAAACAATTGCTCCATTGGGCTCTTGTCCAGCTCGCGCCATTCGCGTGGCTCTCAGTCCCACCCAGACTCGTCAGCGCTACCAAGCCGACCAATCACAGAGCTTGCGCTACGCGTCGTTGCGACGTGTAGTTACAATTTTTGAGAGGTGCACGTCAACGACGCCGACGGCCACGGCGTAGGGCTATGCATCAGCGCCGTAGCATACGCCGGCGTTTGACGCCGAAGTATAAATCAGCCTTTAGCCGACAAGAATATGAATGAATGAATAATACAGGATTTATAACATAGTTAAAAGCACTTTCGCATCATACAAAAGTACTTTTTCAGTCATTTTAAATTATATGTATATGGAGATTATTCAACTAATGCCGAGTTTAAACTGCATGATTTTAGCCCCGAATTTGACTTGGTGACAGTTTTTGAGAAATTTCAGACAAATGCCTAAAATCACAGGTAAATCGGTGATCGTTCATGTGAGTGAAAATCACACAGTGTGAACTATCAAGTCAATCTAAGAGAATCGCAGATGAGTCGCCAACGCCTGTGAGATATTCGGTGTGCTAAATATCTGGAGCTGTCGACGATTCACATCATGCCATGTGAAATGTGTTCTTAATGAAAAGTTCAAACCGAGGTAAGCAAAATAATTACATTTTCTACTCCACTAAAGGCCACTTTCTTATTATGTAGTAAATAACAAACTACATACTACGTGACCTTGTGTTGTTTCCACGCCATGTCTTGCGAGTTTGGACAAAGTTGTTGACGATTCTTCCTTTTGAAAAGTCATGCAGTGTAAAACCCCGTCGCCAATCAATCTTGTAGTGTAACCAAAGCAGCGACAAAACGTTACCCCAGATAGACATGCAGTATGAAAACACCCGTGACACGACTACTTTGAAAATCATGCAGTCTGAACTCGGCATAATACTGTCAATCAGTTTACTTTGGAAATCATATAGATTGTTTTGATTGAGCTTGCCATATGTCAATCATTAATCAATTGTTTAAACTGTGAAAATGAAAAAAATATCTGGTAATTGGATTGGTTTATGGGTCGGGGCAAGTTTAGGAACAGAAAATAAATACACAATAAGGCAATACAGAGCTGTGCATCATCATTATATCAGTGAGAGTTTGACCGGTCCTAGTACTAAACCTTGTGTTACTCCATGCTAAACCTGAGGCAGACATGACAACTCTGCATTTTTTCTGCTACAAAAAGCGGACCAATGAGTATGATTTGAACAATACCACTGTAATCCCACTACCGGCACCAAGAGTGTTCTATAAAAGAAAGTCATCTAAAAAGAATGCTGTGGCCAATGGTGCAGCGCTAAGGTCAGAGAGAGTCCAGAGAAAAATCATCTGTAGCTCTGATGAGTGCAATTTCAGTCCTCTGAAATAGTATAACCCTGGCTAAAAGTCTTTGCAAGAATTAAAATGTGAAAGATATTTCTTTCATTTTGACAGATTGGAGACACATTTATATAGAACTAAAACCACTAAGAAATTAAGTGTCCTGCAGGCATGCAGTGGAGACATAGTCTGTGCTTGAGTGTAATCAGGTTAAGGTCACACTGACGAAAGCAATCTCACCTGATGAGGTGCATAGCTTCTGGCAACAGATCAGTGAAGGTGGTGCGGTAGACTATGGCATTCTTCCTTTTACAGTTCTGAATGACATCATTCGCCAGATAGAAGAGATTGAGTCGATGTGATGCATCAGCTGGGGAAAGAAGGAGGAATTGTTTAACTTTATTATAAAACAATACGTTTAATGGTCCATTTACAATAGCAAGACCTTTGTCTAATTTTTGTGCAGATTAGGCATGGGACGATAACCGTTTTCAAGTTATACCGCGGTTTGGAAAAGTCAAGGTTTTTAAAACTGCTAAAATTGTCTGTGATACCGTTCCTAAGGTATGTGTTTTATTTTTGTGTGTTGTGAATAAATCTGTGTTTTTGAAACTAAGGAAGAAGCAGAAGCCGATGATTCATTTGAATTGTTTACTGCTTCAAAATATTTAAAATGTTTCTCAAAATAAAATATATTGTGTTCGAAGGGAGAAAAGTTTGAGTTTTTTACCCAGACATTTAAAAAGAAAATATCTTAGATATTTGCAGTAATCACAATACCATGAAACAGTGATATTTTTATCCAAAGTTATTATACCGTCAGAATCCTGTACCGGCCCATGCCTAGTGCAGATTGCTAAACCATAATGAAGCGTTATAGTTTATGCCAACACAGGATATTTTATAGGAAATGACAAAAAAAGTCATGCTACAGTCTCTTTATCTACTGTAGCACGTGCTGCACATACTTTCACCCAGCCAACAGTATATGGAGACTTCATCACCAAAATAAAACAATTACAAACTGTTATAAACTATTCACATTTAAAATTTAATTCACAAAGCTGGGAGGAGGTCAGTCCAGACTCTCCCCAAGGCCCTGCTCTGGTTTTGGAAATTCGAAAACAACCTAAAACAAGCGTGGCGGATAATGCCAATAAAATTTTAAGTGTGTTTTAACCAGCATAATAACAGCTTTTGGTATATTTGGTAAATAAAAAATAAAAAGTTAAATTTATAAATAGCGTAAAATTACCAATTTTATTTACATTAAAATACATAATTGTCATTTTATTTAATAATGCTTTTTATTTATTTTTTTTAGCAGATTTTTACTGTTTTCTTGTTTGGCATGGGCCGGTATATGTTTTGATGGTGTGATAACCTTGGATAAAAACATCACGGTTTTATAGTATCACTTTATTGTGATAACTGCTCTAAAATAAGTTACTTTTAAATGTCTGGGTTAAAAAAAAGTTTTTCTCAATTGAACCCATTAGATTTTATTTTAGGAAACATTTATAATATTTTGGAACAGTAAAAATGTCAGGATGAATTTTAAATAATTAATTGACTTCTGCTTTCTTACTTAGTTTCAAAAACACAGATTTCTTTTTCAACGCACAAAAATAATAAATAAAAAACACATACCTTTGGAACGGTCTCACAGAGAATTTTACCAATTTTAAAAATCTTGACTTTTTCTTTTATAACTTGAAACCGGTTATTGTCCCATCTCTAATTCTTGTCTAAGATTAAAACAATAATTTTTAATTTAATTATTTTTATTATTAATAACAGATTAAATAAGTATAGAGAATTCAAGATTCTTCCAACCAATTGAAGATTCTGAAATAACTATTTTTTTAAGTCACAATGGTAATTTTTTTCCAAAAGCATTCAATATGTAACGTCATCAACTCCTTTACAGAAAGTAATATAAGGCAGTACCTAATTAGAAATGTATCAGAAACCCCATCTAAAAAAAGTATTGTTCAGGAAAAAAAAGTGGCAAAAGATTAAGAAAAACACTTTTACTTCTAATATATAAATTAAAGGCATGATAATAGTCATTACACTTTAATAAATCACAACAGCAGAAAAGTTTTCTTTTTTTAACCACAAATTGTTTCCATAATCTTGAGAAATGAGATTAATGCAGCTTATACTGTCCAGAGAGGAACATCACATGCTTTCTAGGTCCACAAGACAAAATAAAAGTGTTCTTCTACATACAGTTTGCATCAGTAATTATTAATTTAAATCAAGTGTACCTTATAATATATTAATAAAGTTAAAGCTTAAAGAAGCCAGATTACAAAGCAAGTTAATTTCAACAAAGAATTTAAAGCAGAGTATTGACAATTTAACAACAAAACACTAAACTAAACCCTTTTATCTGGCATCGTAACACCCAGCTGTAAATTAAAAGAAATTTTGCTTCAGGAACAGAATATTTAAATCAAAGAAACTGGTCGAAAAAAGATATTTGATACAATTGGACGTTAAAGGGATACCATATATCCCATGGGTAACATGAGCTGAAAAGGTCCTAGTACTAAACCTTGCGGTACTTGTGATCAATAAGGTGATTTACTGCTACACAAACTGATAGTGTGGGCAGATAAGAATGCTTTGAACCATGCCAATGATTGACCAGACTAAACACAAGCACTCGCTCAGCATTGCTATTTTGTAACAACACTTCACCTGATAAATTATGAATGAAAATAAAGCGTCTTGGTTATAGTTCCATTGTAATAAATACATTCTAACAACTTACAAGATTAGAAAGGTATTTAAAACGAGTTTTCTACCCTCATACATACGCTAAGATCTAAACTGTTGTGCTCTTAAAACTTTGTGTATATCTGCTTATCCCAACATTCAATAACTGCAAACCTCCAGCACTTACATTGTGAAATATTCAAAAAAAACAACGACAGAAACAAAATAGCTCATTAGACATCAACTTCACACACTTTAACTGCACGAATACTTCAAAACCATTTTTTCTCTCGACAGTTCTTTGAGCATTTAAAACAGCATTTTTGCTCCATCCATCCTTCACTGACTTCACAAATATCAAAATTACAACATTCAGCTCATCTCAAACGATCAAGAACTGCACGAATTTTCACAATATGAAGATTACACAAGAAAAAAACTGAAAACATGCTTTGTAGGAGAGAAATACACGTGTTCCTCAGATTAGAAATAGTGGTGTTTTATGTGACTGCAATACAGCAGTTTCTGAACATCTCACGTTTCTTGTGGTCAACTGTTACACAAGTCATGCAGAACACTGACTAAAGTAAATAACATCCTGACCAACAAAATACCACAAACTGATTCCAAAACCTGAAAACAAGTAAGCACTTTTTGAGCTTCTGGTTTCATGGCACTCAAGAAGTCCCTTTAAGTCACCAATAAAATTAAACAACAACAGTTTTTTTTGTTTGTTTCATTTCCAAATGTTCAAATCACATTTAATCTTCAGAAACTCCCCTCTGATTCAAGCCCATCCCTTGAAGAATCGTCAGTCTAGAACGATCACTCATTGGCTCCTGTACTAGTCAGTGGGGATTCATTCGCTTTTTTGTTACACTTTTCCCCATTCAAAACTATACGAGTGACACGTTGTGTGTATTCTAGTCGATGACTCAAGTCAATAGGTTTACTGAACGTGGCGTTAAGGCTGAGAACAAGGCCTTTAGGCAACACAACACACTTTACAAGATAAGACTCATTAGTAATGACTAGGACTACACCGAATATGCGTGTGCAGAATTCCGCAATTTCTGCAGATTTTTAGCCCATCATTGATTCTGTTTGTTTACTTGTGTAACATTTATTCAGTTTTTAAATTTATCTCAGTAATATTACTGACTAATATGAAAATATTCATATGATTTATTTACAATATAGTTTGTAATCTTTTCAGTCTTTTAGTAGATTATATTATATGAGAGACTTGCTTTGTTTACTAAATAAAGTGGATGTAACTGGATTTGCATTGTAAACATTAAATACAAGTTAAAAAGGTATTTCTTTTATTTAATATTTTAAGGTTTTAGTTACGATACTCCCAAAATAATTCCACATAAATCTGCAGATTTTTAACAAAATTCTGCGCAGAAACGGCAAAAAATGTCCGCAGATTCTGTCTGGCCCTAGTAATGACTCACTTCAGTTGACTTTATGTAAATGAAATGAATACATCTACGGTTGGGCGATTAATTTAGAATAAACCAAAAACGAAACTTAAGACCTACAACGGACGAAACTTCCATATATCGTTTTTTTTTTTTTTAAGGTTTTTAATTCTAATAATACTTTCCCCTTTAAAAACTACCTTGTGAAAAAAGTTTCGCTGACAGAGCAGTGAGAGCATAGTTCATATTCCCTATCTAACAATCTGAAACTAAATGCAATATACAAAAAAAACTATTAAATAGTTTTCCTCGAACTTTTGTAAAATTATAAAAAAAAGTTTGAAATTGACTCTTTCATTAAAAGAGGTTTCACCTTTAATAGTCGAGTATATTTACCGTGCAAATAATATAAAGACCTATGAGGGGTAAAAACATAAATAAATAAGAATAATTAGATTGAATTTAAAAAAAAAGTCATTCAAATCGAAATCAAGGCAAAACGTGTTCAATTAATCAAAGTTTTGATTTTAGGCCATATTGCTCAGCCCTAAATACATCCCATTCTTTTGTGTATCAGCAAACAACTAGTGTACAAGGTGGAAAAGAATGGCACAGAAATTGACAAAGTCGAAATTTTCATTTTAAATTTAATACGCATTTTATAGTTTTAAGTATCTGATTAAAGAATTAGAATCACTTTTTTCTTCTTAACCCTAATTGGAAAGTAGAACATCTTTCAGGCTGTGCTTAAACCTGGAGTTTGATTTTCTAATATCGCTCTATAGGTTTGGAAAAGGGCTGCATTATATTGGAAAAATCTGACATTGCAATATTTTGTTTATCTGCGATATTTATTGCAATGAGAATATAATTTTAGCAAATGAATTGAATAGCTTCATTTGGTAAGATTTCATTCATTTAGACTGATTGGGATGAATGAATCTTTGTCTATGCGGTGTGTCTGCATAAATTATAATAAATTACTAGCATATATAAATACATCAGAGCAGAAATAAAATTAAATAAACAGTACTTTGATTTTCTGAATACTCAGACAGTATTCAGGTAAAGAAATAACAATCAAACATAAAATAACATGGTCATCATTAAATAAACAATTTAAAATATTAACATTTAATAATATCTTTATCTTTTAATTTTGCGATGTGACTATTGTGTATACACATTGCAATATCCATGCTCAAACAATACATTG